CAGCTGAAAGCTTGACTGTACCTACTTCTCTCCTTGTGTCTATTCTAGGTCTGGTTCCTTAAGAACACTGTTGTTGTTGTTATGTGCCATGGAGTAGGTTCTGGCTCATAACTACACTATACAGGGTTTCTGAGGCTGGAAATCTTTACGGGAGCAGAAAGCCTCATCTTTCAACTGCGGAGCAGCTGGTAGTTTCAAACTGCTGACCTTGCAGTTCGCAGCCCAATTTGTAACCACTACACTACTAAATTAATCCTGCCTTCTTTTTTTTTTTCACTTCTCTCTTAACAATCTCCTTCTGTATTAGGAAAGTATTAACAGGTAAATTTATGCTTAAAGTGAATGCACATTTACTTAATAATGCTGGTAAGATTAAGTCCTTTAATTTGAAGCATTTTGTAGCTTTTTCTCTAACTATGATAGACTTTCAGGGCAGTATTAAGACTTTCCTAAAAGAACAAATATCTTAAGTGATTTAGGAGTCACTTCACTCACATGCAAGTAGTTAAGCTCTACAATTTAAATGAAAATAGACATTTTTTTATGTAAAATGTTGTATGGAAATGCCAAATTTTCAAAATGGAAGTGACCTAGTCTGATGAAAGCTTGAAACAATATCACCATTTAAGTATTGCATGATTGCAATGTCTTTCACGAAAATCACATTTTATTAGAAATAGCACTGCAGCTGTAAAAATCCACACACCATGTTTAAAATAAAATGATATCTAAAAGATCTTCCAATGTTTATTTGGAAAAATTTTAACATTTTTTAATTCAGAGACATTATCAAGCCCTGATTGCCCTACCACAATATCCTCCATTTTCAAGCATTTCTGAGAATAATAGAAAAGAGTGAGTAGAAGCACATTTATAATAGAAACAGAACAATAGAAATTTATTCTGGTAGACAGAACAAATAATAGATCTGAAAACTGATTAAATATGATTGCATAGAAGAGTTAATATTTAAAAAATATTTCCTTGTATCTAATTTTCACTTTTCATGCTTGACCAAGTGCAGCATGTATATGGTAACATTTTTAGTTTGGATCAAATGATGCACTAGGCGATGATCTTCAAAGGCAAGAGGTCTTAACCTGCACTGGCATCATTCCAGAGTAACTCCAGAAACTGAAAAGAAAAAACACTATGATTAGTGGGCTGCCTGCTTCCTATACATAAGTTCTATCCATGGCCCCTTCTTTTCTTCATTCTATGCAGGCAACCAAACAGCTTTTTACAATACCAGGTCAGAAAGTTCAAACTATCAACTGTATTGGATATAATCTAATTGCAATCGTTTTTAGATATATCTATTGTTGCTCTTTGAAAGGAAATGGGAATTGGAAGGGAGGACTGTGTAGCCATTTTTTTTTTTTTTTTTTTTTTGTTTTTGTATCTGTTAATTGTTATCGAGTTGATTCCAACCCATAGTGACACTGTATAGGGTTTCCAAGGAGCAACAATAGGGAACACCAAAAGGGAAGAAAACACTTAGAATTTCTCATACTGAGGAAACTAAATTAAAACTTCAAGGCTCAACTTGAAATATTGAAGGATTCTCTGGGAAAAATATTGAATGATGCAGAAAGCATCAAAAGAAGCTGGAAGGAATATACAG